TGCTTCCTGGCATCCAAATGGAGCCTGGGTTCCCTGAGCTTGGCTCCGTCGGAGCGCATCCTGCCTTCCTCTGCATGGAGAGCAGGTCTCTCTACCCAAACCTGATACTCCAAAGCTCAGCCTAGGCAATACCCAGAAATCCTGAGCAGCAGAACAGGTGATGCAATTCTCACCAGAGAAAACAAGACCACTGAAATAGAAAGCTGATGTTGCAATCCTGAGATGTTCCAGGACGGAAGGGCTGGGGAGCACCATGAAGTTTACTCCTGAGCAAGGAGACAGGCAGGCACACGCAGGATCACTCTGGGTGCCTTTGATTATTGCAAATCGAAGCCTGCATAATCGCTCCCTGTGGCCGTCCGAAAGAGGGAGAAAGCCCACAGAAATGGCAGCCACTCGAAGAAAATGCAAACAGATAAATTGGAAATGGCAGAACATGACCCAGTCTGTTGCTCTGCGTTATCCTATACAGGAAATCTCTGGACTCGATCAGGTTGTAAACCCTTTACCTCCCTCTAGAAATGCGGCAACAAGAAGCCCTTTTGGAAGCACCCTTCACTACAGACAAAGGCTTGACTCCAGTCACCAGGACAGTGGCCCTTAAACCTTTTATAGGGAAAAGCGGTTCATTTGGAACTAGGAGAGCCTTTACGACGTCCTTGCAGAGTAGACTGAGGTCAAGATCCCAGACAAGCCACGACAATCGCTTGTGTGTGATGCCCAGAGGTTTCTGGCGGGCTAGCATCGCCGGAAACCAATCCCATGGTCTGATCCCAGGTCTTGAGGATGCTGGCGGAGTGTGAGGACAAGTTATGAACAAGAAAGTCCTCAGTGGGAATGTTGCTTCTGCCTGAAACTCAAAAAACTGGGCAAACACTGCTGTCCCTTTCTCCCAAACTCACCCCACCGGTCATGTGCATCTAAAGCTACCGGGAGTGCAAGCACGGCGAAGAATCCAGGAGTGTGCGCTCAGTGTGAAGTGTTGTGCTTGACATTTCACAACACTTCCTCCATCCAACGCACACAGGATTTTCCTGCCCCCCTTCCCAGGGGATCCTTTGTCTGGAAAAGCTAAGAGGGTTCCTCAGCATTTGTTTGGCTTCTGTGGGTTCCCTTAGCTGAAGCCCATGATATTTCTGCCTTTTTGGCTTGTGTTTTTGCCCAGCCGCAGAGGACCAATGACCCCCTGAAGGTCAAATGAGGACTGCAGGGACCAAGGTCCACATGTGTGGTCACCTTAAGCTTGGACTAGTCATTCGTCCTCTGCTTAACTTCAGGGTCGCCGGGAGGAGAAAAGCAGGAATGGAGAGATTGCTCGATCTTGGGCTTGCCCAAACTGCCCTTGTTTCTTTTGGTTTTCTTTCTGACAATGTGGGCATTTTAAAAACAAGTCCTTTTGTGTCCCTTTTTTATTTTGGTGGGGAGGGGAGTGCATTTCCCCCAATCGGTGCATCCTTTTTGCACAATTTTTAAAGCACACGTTGCCTGCAAGCATTTTACTTTGCTATAATTCAGTTTGCAGTGCCTTTTCCTTGTGGATGCACATTCTGTGCGAGTTTCCCCAGAGAGGCGCAGCATCACAAACATGAAGGCATGCATGTGAATTTTGGCACATTCCCCGCTCCCCATCTTGGCTCCCTTAATGACTCAAGATGTACCAACTGGGTGAAGTCATAACCACCCCCAGCACGAAATGGACCGAATTTCCCATTTTTCGGTAGATAAAGGCACCAGGAAAGGAAAGGAAGGATCTATGAAGATCATTGTACACTTGACTGCAGGCCTTATAGACTTCTCTGGCATAAGTAAATACATTAACTTGTAGTTTAATATTTAATTGGAGGATATATGATAGGACCATTTTATGACTTCTCAGGTGAGTGGTTTGTAATTGACCCAAAGAAAATGGCTCCATTAATCCAGTTCTTCCAAGGAGGAAGAGTGATAATGCCCAGATACAAAGTGCCCCTTGACAGGAGCTACCGGGGCTGCAACATCGCAGTAAATTCCCCGAATTTCCCAGATGCCGCCCATGGCACTTCCGCGTCAGGCTGTGAAACGCCCTTGCCGAAGGCCCCGGAAAGCCATCCAGTGTTGGCAGAGGATGGGCAACTTCTGAAGACCCCTTTTGTTCCACCCAGACCTGCCATCCTAAGGGTGCCATGCATTTCATGGGGCACTGAACCGGGGACCCTGGAGATCCAGGTTCTAGGCAACCTAGCCTACCTCACAGGGTTGTTGTTGTGAGGATACAATAGAGTTACATAAAGGGAAGCCAGAGGGAAAATGGCTGAATATAAATCCAATGTAGTAGTAGTACTAGTAACAACAACAACAACAATAATAAATTTAAATTTTAAAAGCTTTTATATCCTCCGCTTCACAATGTCTCAGGGCAGTAATACGATAAAATGAATAAGATACAGCATCCAGATAATAATATATAAAATCAATCTTAAAACACTACTAACATTAAAAATAACAGGAAAGTAAAAAGGTTAATTCAGTATCATTGCATTATGAGAGAGAGAGAGAGAGAATAAAATCTCTCTGTCCACCTTGTCAAAGGCATGCGAAATTTTATAAACCACAATTGCATCCCTCCTTGGTTGCCCTTTTGCCTAAACTACAAACCCACCCCTTCCTCGGAGAGGCGCTCCCAACCCTGCAATCATTTTGGCCACCCTTCCTCGTTCCTTTCGGGGGATACTTGGAGGAATGGAGGAATCAGAACGAGACACGCGCTCCTCCAAAATCAGCCTGCGCTCCTTTGCCTTCGGCAACACTCACTGCACTTCTAATAAGCAAAGCGGAAGTGGATGGCCAGCTGGGAGCCGCCTGCACAGCGCCCTCCGCATTGCCGGAACATGGCCTTTGCGAGAAGGAGAAGAATTCAGCACCCCGAAGTCCCGCCTTCCTTTTCTTTGTCGTTTTAACAGCAAGCTTCCAGCACTGAAGCAGGGCCCAGAAATGCTTTCGGAACCGTTTCTCCATTTCGGAGAACTTTCAAGCGCCACGTTCTGGGACTGAATGGGGCCAAAGGCAAAAGGGGCCAGGTTGGAATTAAAATAAGAACCAGCATCTTCCAGCTTAAACCTTGTGGTGCCAGAAACTCAGCTTCCATGCATTCAGCATGGGGAAGATGGTGCACGAAGATCAGGTGACCATCACACAGTCATGTGAAGAAAGAGGGTGGAGCCAGGGCAAGCGGAGCCCTCTGGGGATCCCCGGGGGCCGCCCGGGGCTCCAGGGCCTGTGGAGGTTTTGCATCCCTGAGTTAAAGCTCCCGCAAGGCCACCGACTGAAATCTGGGTCCAGGGAATGTGCTTGATCGGTGTCCTGCACAGCTCCTCAGTCCTCCATGTGACTTGTAAAAGGAAAATAAATGATGACGCACAAGCAGAGAAGATGCTACTCTTCTAAATTGCTGGCTTTGCCTCTAATCCCCCAATTTTCAGTGATGCACACACGGAACCATTTTTCTCCACCAAGCGTTCAAGTGCTCCAGAAGCGGCACACAGAGACAGAAAAGATCCAGGCACAGATCAAGTCATGGGTGAGCACCGGCTGGAATGAGGCCCTGGATAGCCGGAGCGCTGCAAGATCATCTGCCCAGCTCTGCCAAATCCCTGAGGTGGCGTTCAAAACCATCTGGATGCTGATAAAAATGCCTCTGTTGATGAGCCATGAGGACCCCGTTTTATTTTCTCTCTCTCGAAGCCACTGGGCCAACTAATTATCTCCGATTTTATGCTGAATGTTCTGAAAGCCCTAATTATGTAGGCAGATTCTCAAGGTTGGTAGGACTGCAAACGAGCACAGATGCGGATGCTGTGATCGGACGGAAACGTCAAGCCCAGGCGCTGGACTCGTGGCGCTGCAGAGGATGGCCGGCCGGCCGTCGGTCAGTCTAGGCCAGTGTTTTCCTGGGAACAAAAATGAGGGAAGGGTTTTCCTGGGGGAGGGGCAGCGGGGCCAGGGGACAGGCCCGTGTCTTTGACAAAAGTAGCTTCAGGCTGCAGTGGCACAAAAGGAAAAGAGAGCAAGAACTGGATCAGAATTAGGGGACTGAACGGAAGTTTGAATTAATATCATCAGTATTGGCATCCTTCTAGCAGCCTAGTTGTCATTTTGCACACTTTTGTTAAGGAATTTTTTCAACACAGCTGCTTTGTTTTCTGTTGCTTCTTATGTATCTGGGATAGTTCTGTTCCTTCAACTGGTATTAGTTCATTCAGATTTTGGGGTTTATTCAAAACACGCAGAATGTTTCATGATTCACAAACACACACACACGGCTCCTTATCCAATGCAGCTTTCATTCTGAGCTTCACAGGAGCTATCTCTAGTGCTGAACTCCACTCCCAAAATAGGTTCACCTCGCTGGGCAGCTCCCATAAAGCGCAGAATACAAGCCGCAATGGCCGAATGCCCCAGGGACGCAGGAGTCAGCTGCCTCCTTGGGTACCGTATTTTGAAATAGCAAAAGTTACATTTCTACTTGTTCCATTCCAGGAAGCGGAGTACGAAGATCAGGGTGATGCAACCTCTTTCCACCCACCTGGAAAATAATCCTGCTGTGTGAGAGAATTTGATCTCAGCAGGTTTTGAGAGAATTCGGGGGAGGGGTGAGCCCCCGGTTGAGTTGGAACCACGGTGGTTTTCTGGTTTCGGACAGAACCCTTTTCCCTTCCCCTGCTAACTCGGCCTTTTCCAGGCTTGTGTTGGCCTGGGAATGATGGGGTTTGTAGTGCACGCTTCTGCTCAGCGCTCTCTGCCTCCCAGCTTCGCCTCGCGGCAAGGGCTCCTGCGCGGCAGCCGCTTCTCCGCGGCTCGTTCCTGAGGCGCCTTTGCCCCACTAGCTGCGCTCTCTCCCGGTTCCTCTTCCCCCAGGGAGGAGGGGCAGAGAAAGCTGCCCCGTTCCGGCGCCGGTGGCCTCAGGCCGCGGTTGCAAGGCAAACCCCCATGGAGCGGTTTAGACCGGTTTGCTACGCCCAGACTGTGCTGACTCACACAGAAAACTCCGCGCTCTTTCGCTCTGTTGTCTCTTGGAGTAGCCCGGGCTTGAAAAATGCAACCGTAGGTATTTAATCGCATGATTCCGAAACTCCTGATGAGTAATAGGTGGCTGAGGCAAGATTTATCTAGCTAGCCAGATCTGGTTTTAGTTTTATTTCTGAAGAGCACAGCCTTTCTTTCCTGATAATGTCCCTGGTCACTTGCCAACGGGGATTCTGCGCCGCGGGGGCGCTTTCCTGCATTTCCCTGTGCATGAACACGAGCTGGAGGCCGCGCTGTGTGCGAGCTTTGTTCTTCGGGGCAGACTGAGCCAGCCGTCCTGGCTGCTTCGGCGTCCAGGCCGACCTGGCTGGGGTCCCACGGGGCAGGCTCCACGTACAGTGCAACGTGAGAGTCACCCTTCTCCCACAGTGGCATGTCTAGAATGCCAAGGCACCAGCTTTTGCCCTGCTTTTGCCCAAGCCTCCTTCCTAAGGTACGTGGCATTTCAGGATGGGGCGAGAACAAGCGGCAGCTGGTATCTTTGGGCAAGTGCGGCGAGCGCGGCCGATGCCCCCCAGGCCCCTCGTCCCTTGAAGCACCCGCTGCTGAGCTAGCCTCTCTTCGACCTCGCGCAGCGCTATGGTTGCCGCATCACTCTGGGGATTGTGGGCAGCTCAAAGGGTGGCTTGCCCACGTGGCTTTGTGCTGTTCAGAGACAGCGGGGGCCACTGGCGCCCTGTGGTTCAGCAGGACACGGCAGGGGGCGCGTTTGCCCCCCCCGGAGGTGGCAGAGTTCCACTGCAGAGCTGGGGCGGGGAGGGGACTGCAGCTGGGCCAGAGGCGGGCAAGGGCGGAGGAGGTTCGCAGTGCGGATTCTCTTCGCATTTCACCTCTGGGCATGCAAGCTGTGGCAAGAGTTGGCGGTGAAGCTTGGACTTGCCTTGGTCTCCCTCTGTGTGGATCAGGCCCAGATGGCCACCCAATCAAACAGAAAATTGCACGTGGGCGCTAGCGGGTCTCTCCTTGGGCTGCGTCTCCTGTGAGGATGAGCGACTAATTCTGGGCGCATGGACAGCGCATGTGCCGGCCTTCTCTGCAAACTCTTAGAGCAGACCACATCACCCGGTTTGGCCTCTACCTTCATTCTGCTCCCTGCCCGAAGGTTACCAAGTAGAACCGAGTCGGTCTACATGACCTCAGTTTGGAATGCATGCAAAAACCATATGCATGCTTTATTTTTATTTTATGTTCAGTCCTCTAAACGAAAGAGTCAGGAAAGAACCCAGCCAGCTCCACATCTGTGTTTTCCTGTCTGCTTGCTGATGCGTTGGAAAGATCTGTACGCAATTGCTTCTAACCTTGTGTGGCAAAAGTGTTGTTTACTCTCATGAATCAACACAGGGCTAAAAGAGAAGAAACTTATCTCCCTGGGAAAAAAACCCTCTCCAGCCTAGACCACAGCGACTCCCTCATTAGAGGCAGTCTTGTTCTTGCCCTGCCCGCCCAGCCAGCCTGCAGGGACAGCTTCAGCACGGAACGGAGTCACCCTGGGGCTACTCGGAATGAACACTGTCCTCTGCCATAAACTGGTGCAGGCAAAAAGTTTTCCAGACTTTTATTTATTTTATTTATTAGAACATTTCTATGCCGCCCCTTGCCGAAGCCTCGGGGTGGCTTACAACACAATAAAATACAATAAAATACAAAAATAACAATATACAATTAAAATTAACAATATAAAATAAATAAAAAATATATAAGAAGTTATAAAAGAAGAGACTGGCTGTATTCCATCGGGATGGGTGTTCCCAGCAGAGAGAACTGGTTGCGCTGGGTTGCCATGCAGAACCTGATTGGCGGCTGAGCACCGACCAGTGAATCAGGCTGGCCGGCCACCGTCTTCCACCCCAGGCAAACATGCGCTGCTTCCAGTTGAATTATAACAATTATTGCTGAATAACTGGTCAGCATCGATCTGTGTATGCCAGTTTCATGCAGCTCTGCATCTTCTTTTTGAGGCTGATGCATCTCCTTTATTTATGCACTTAGGCAATTTATGAATTGTTAACCTAGAAAGTGCCTGAGTTTAACAAGAACAGGCTCGGTTTTGAGAGAAACTAAATGTGACAGATTCACCCTTCCATGTTGGAGAGTTTGAGTGCTTAGACCTTAACATTCTGGGCTTGAGGTCCTGTGTATCCAACCATGCTTGCTTGTGTGCTGAATTAAGGTTGGTGCTCCTCCTCTTCTTTCCTGGCAACTTCCTCACCTTTACCTGACATCCAGATACAACTCAGTCTTTGCCATACAGTGATTTTCTTTATTGATTATATTTATTTTTATATGCATATCCCACCTTTTTTCCTTCCAAGCAATTCAAGGTGGCTTACATAATTCTCCTCCTCCTCCTCCTCTTCTCAGTCTTATCCTCACAGCAATGACCCTGTGAGGTAGGCTGGGCTGAGAGTCTGTGCCTGGCCCAGAGTCACCCCGCTGGCTCCATGGCTGAGTGGGGCCTCAAGCCCGGGTCGCCGGGGTCCCCGTCCCGTGCTCTTAGCCACTAAGCCACCCTGGCTCTTCTAACCACTGAATGGCTGTTCCTCTTGAATTCAGCCTTTGCAGATGCCTGTGAATGTTCACTTTGGTTCATTTTGGGAAGAAATGAGCCGAATTTGCTTTTTTTCATATTTGGAATGGGAAGAAGCTCAGAACTTAACAATTCAAACCCGGGAAAACCCAAAGCAAACAGCTCTGCTCCTACCTGTTCCACATTGCAAGGTTTTATGACAGGCTCCGCTTGGTTTGCTCACATATGGCTTTATTTATTTATTTATTTATTTATTTATTTATTTATTTATTTATTTATTTATTTATTAAAAGCTTTTCTATCCCATCCCCTACAGAACATCTCAGGATGGCTTACAATAAAGGTTCTAACACCGTTGGCTACTCTGCTTAGGCTGGGCAGCAGATCTGAGACAAAAGATTGGTGCCTTCAGTGTCTACTGAACCAGTCAAACCAGTTCATCTCCTTCCAGTATGCAGACCCTTGTGTGCATATCTGCCTCCTCCGTCCGGCCTTGGTAGTCCAGGCACTGTTTACAAGTTGGAGACAAGTCAAGAGGGAGAGCATCTAAGAGATCCCTGATATGGCACGAACGAAGGTGGATGGAGCTGGGTCTGTTTAGCCTGGAGGGAACAATGAATGATGGAAAGAGATGTATCGATAGTTTCTACGGGAGCCACACACACACACAAAGAACCAAGAGTTGGCCTGCTAATGCATTTTTCACATTTGAAACAGGAACTCATGGATAAGCTGTTTCTATTTTCAAGAAGAATCTTCTCTCTATCTGGATGTCAACTGTTCTCCAGACATTCTCTACATTTTTGAATATCTGCCCATTTTTAAAAAACTGGACGTAGTTTATTTAACATTAACTAGTATTGAAGGCTTCTCATGTAGTAGCATTTAGTATCTTAGGTGCGATTCCATGCATATCTAGACAGGAAAAAGACTACAATGCCCATCATGCCCCAGCTAGCCATACAGGGAGTTGTGGGACTTTCCCCCCTTCTTTCTAACCATGTGCAGGATTGCACCTTTCGGCACTTAAGTGGCCACGTAGTTTACCATGGCAAGCAACAGCCTCCTTGGGTGTTCAATCAGAAACATTTTTCCAAATCTGGCCCTTTTAGATTACAAGTGGCCAGTGCTTATAAAAATGGCCATTTTAGTTATTTTTCCTTGACATTTTGGGTTTGCAGCTGTTCATTATTGTTTTTGTTGTTCTAAACCCTTTTTATTATTTGCACTCTCCTGCAAACCTTTTGTGAAAGGGCGCTATGCGAACATCATGAATAAATAAATGCTCAGATATTTTGGCGCGGTGTTGAATTGGAGAGGACCCTTGAATGCACTTTTGAATTCAGTTGTCCTTCCCAGGAAAATAAACCCCTTTGTTTAAGAATCGCACAATGCCAAAATCTTGCTGGGCTGTCTGCAAATATCAGGAAAATAACGCAGTCCTTGCCTGGAGGCTTAAAGGAAATTTGTGTCGCTGGCCACTTGTGGGCCAAAAGGCACATGTGGTTATGTACACACACGGGAACGGGAACACAAGCTCATTCAGACATAATGCTCTGGGCATGTTTCTAGGATGGCCCCAAGTGGGGCGAATGAGGTGGGGCGAATCCTTCTTTGGGCAGGAGATCAGAAGAGGAGAATTTCATTATTCTACCAGCCCAGGTGAAAAATTGTAGCCAACAAGATCGCATTTGAAAAGAGAGTCCTTTGCCTCTGTGCTTTTCATGAGAACAATTCCCCTGCAGCAAATGTACTTGTTTCCATCCAAAAATGTGACTTGGAGAATATTTGGTGCAGCTCCATTTCCCGCTGAGTCCAACACCCTTAGCGAAACAATTGATTTCTCCCCTAAACATGTCGCAGCCGAGTGTGTCCTTGGGAACGTGAGCATCTGTTGATTCCCTTATCGCTCTTCTCCGTTGTCACTGCGCTTGGCACAGAGTCGGGGCCACCGACTCAGCCAGGGGCTGTTGACGGCCTGCTCTTGGCAGGAAGCTGCTTCTGCTGACGTCGGGCAGGCCGACAAACCAGAGCAGCCATCCAGCTCTCTCCTGGCTCTGAAGCGCCGTCGCTGCAGCCGGCCAGCCTCGGGAAACGCAAGTGCGCACGGTGCATATACGGCCTGCAAGGAGCGGAGCAGCTTCACGAGCCTCAGAAAATGGGGCTGCGCTCCAAAATGGTCCAGGCTGACGCCCCAAATATGGCAAATGAAAAGCTGGATTCTGTGCTGTTTCCAAGACCAGAGCAGGCGTGATTGGGCCCAGTGGAGACTCATAAGAACCCCCTCTTCTCCTCTTCCTCACTGTGACCTGCTTTTTTGCCCTCCCCCCCGGCCCTGTTTCAGGCAATGGGGTGGGGAGAACCTTGCAGATGCTGGGTCTGGCTTGCTCCCCGTCTGCCCAGCAAGCAAGTGGGAGCGGAGGAGTGGCAAAAACAGCCCGTGAGAAGACAGCGAGTACGGGGGGGGGGGTGCTGTAATAAACGGGAGCAAAATGTGCATTTCACACATTGGCACAGCCAATGCATATCTTTGGAAAGGTGTGCATGAAAACGCACGTGCATTTTCCCAAGGAAACGAAAACCCCAAGCTTGAGGCTGAGTGCGACCTGGATCCGAAGGAGGCGAGGCCACGGAGGGCGTCTTCCAAGGACTGGTAAAATAGTGGACATAGAGATGCGAATCACCAGGGCTGGGCTTAGCCTTAAGCTTTGAGGGGATGTTCTGTGCTTTTTTGGCTTGAATCTTAGAGTTGGAGGGTCCATGTGGCTGGGTGGGGTGAGGAAAGGAAGAAAATTTTGTGGGGTTAAGGGACTGGGGCTTCGCTCTTACTGATGGCTGCAGTCCTTGCCTGCCCCCTGGTGGCGTAGTGCTGCCCCAGGCTTTGCAGCAGCTCCAGGGAGCCATCTGCTGGCTGAGCAGTGGAAGAGCAGCTCTGGTGTTTGCATGGCTGCTATTCAAGGCAGCTGCTGGGCCACATGAACACCACCTGGGAGCCCCGGGAAAGAACTCTAGAAGAACCGGATCTTGCCCCCAGAAGCTTTCTAGGCAAAGAAGGTCTCCTGACTTGCTGGCTGAACTCCTGGATCTTGCCCTCGACCCTGCTCTAACTGTAAGCTACCTGGTCCTGCTGGCACTGCCGCCCTGGTTTCCGACCCCTGGCTCACCAGATGATGCTTTTGCCTCTTGGGCTGGACTTCCCTTGCTTGGCTGGCTACCCCTGGTACTGACTTGGGGCTGTTGATCCGGATTTGGTGGGGACTGCTGCTCGGACTTGAGCTTAGTTACCCAGGTTCTGGTGCCTGTGTGGGCCACCCAGTTGCCCGTGCCATTGATGCTGACACCTTGTTAGCTGCCTGCCAGAGCTGGTGGCCTGGCCCAGGGGGGTAGCAGCTGAGTTCTTCTTGGCAGCCGACTCTTGGGCAGTCACTGACTTTGCTCCTGGATAAGCACCTGCTCCTGAAATAACACACAATTTTGCACTCTATATGACTCTGGTGCACCCGCAACTGGAGTCTTGTGCTCAGTTCTGGGCCCATCGTTACAGGAAGGATATAGCCAGGTTGGAGTCAGTGCAGCGTAGGGCCACAAGGTTGGTGGCCGGTTTTCAGGGGATGCTGTATGAGGCGAGACGGAGGGGACTGGGTCTCTTCAGCCTGGAGAAGAGGAGACTCAGAGGGGATCTGTTGGCGACATACAGGTATGTGAGGGGGTGTCACACGGAGCTGGGTAGAGACCTGTTCTCCCCTGCAGAGGAAGGCAGGACATGCTCCAACAGAGCAAAGCTCAGGGAACCAAGGTTCAATTTGGATGCCAGGAAGTACTTTCTGACAGTTAGGACTCCGAGGGTATGGAATGGGCTTCCATGGGAGGTGGTTGAGGCCCCATTGGTGAGGGTGTTCAAGGATAGGCTAGACATGCACATGGTGGGCATGTCGTGAGCGGAGCCAGCTGGAGCCAGGGGTCAGACTGGGAGGTCCCTTCTGATTCACTCTGTTTCTATGGAGCCAACTGGGTATCTTTGGTTCAGTCCCAGATTTTCAGCCCAACCTCCCTCACAGGATTGTTGTCGGGATAAGAAGGAGAACAGGAGAATGATGTAAGCTGCTTTGAGTTCTTTGTAAGAAAAAAGGCAGGGTATAAATTTTATGTCAGTCAATATTAAAGGAAATCAACCATGACTGCTCTTTAGAAGGTCAGATACTGAAGATGAAACTCAAATGCTTTGGCCACCTAATGAAGAGGAAGAACTCATTGAAGAAGACCCTGATGCTGGGAACAACTGAAGGGAAAAGGAGAAGGGGAGGGCAGAGGTTGAGGGGGCTGGACGGGGTCACTGGGGAGGTGGGCGTGGGGTTGCATGGACTCTGGGGGATGGTAGAGGAATCTCCTCCAGGAAAGCCTGGAGGAATGTTGTTCATGGGGCTGTGATGGGTCGGGCATGACTTTGGGACTGAACAGAACAGAAAAAATTGACAAATAAACAAATAGTTTGAGCTGAGAAAGTGAAGAGGGAGTCATTTTTTCCTTCTGTCATACTGCTCAAACCCCAAGGAATCATCCTGAAGCTGATTGGTGGGAGGTTCTGGACATAGAAAAGGAAGGACCATCTCACAGTGCAGAATTCAACTATGGGGTTGACCTCCGTGAGGTGTATGGTGCCCACCAAGTTGGATGGCTTTAGAAAGTTGTGGACACACTCAAGGAGGAGGCTGTCCATGGCTGCTAGTCCTATGTGTTACCTCCAGTGGCAGAGGCAGCCTGGTTGCTGGGGAACTTGGGTGGTAGAGTGCATGCGGACTCACACCCTGCTTCTGGGTTTCCTCACAGGCGGCTGGCTGGCCACTGCACGGACTGCATGTTGGACAGTGGTCCCCTGGCATGGCTGCTCTTAGTTCTTGGGAGCTCCATGCTAAAGGTATCCCACACACGTATTCCTTTTCTCTTGTTTGGCTAAGTTATTCTACCATTTCAGTGAATTTCCACAATTTACTCCACTTCTTCCAGTCATGGGGAGGAGATAAGAAACTGAAGACACATTGGAGAACAGTGGTAGGCTGCAGGAAATTAGAGGAGCTGTCTTGCAAACATCTGAGAGATGACAGTATGGAATAGAAACGTATTAAATAAATAACCAAATAAGTAAAACAATAAGAACCCTCAGATCGTTGGACACCAAGCGAGGCGAGCTCTCCTGTGTTGTCATATGGTTTGTTCATCTGTTTGTTTTCAGTGAACACTTCCTGGGATGTTTACCATAAAAAGAATACAACGCAGCCATCAAAGTTCCCCCTGTCTTGACAAGGTCACTCAATGTTGCCTTGGATGAACTCAAAAATTGCCCAAACTTTTCTGAAAACGCTTGGAGAGCTTTTCCGAACCAGGAATGTGCATTGACTGTAGCCCCATCCCTGAAGGGGTGGGGGGTCCCAAGGGAGAGATCCCGAGTTCACAGCCCAGACTCCTCACCACCGTGTCTCACCGGCTCTGTCTGCGCTGTCGTCATGCCTGCTCCTTCGACCTTGGGTCACTCCTCAGTTTTCCAATAAATAGGCTGATGTGAGAGGCGAGGCTAGAAACGTGCAGGTTAAAATCTGCAGTGCTCACGCCCTCTAGCGTTTTCAGACAAAGAAAACACCCTATTTGCCAAAGAGGGATGCTGTCCTTTACATAGTTGATCTGACTGCCCGCCCGTCCGTCCGTCATATAAAATTCCGCATTTGTTTCAGGACACTCGCAAGCTCATTGGCACTAGAAGCCTTGCGCAGAGGTGTTCGGCCTGCGTTGCTGAGGAGCTCGGCCAGGAGGAGGTCTTGCCCCACCTGCTGGAGGGATCCTGGGGGCGGCTGGCTTGCCCCCATGTGTGTGGATGGCTGGACTGGATGGGCCTTGGATCTGCTCCTGTACGGCTCTTCTTGCGTCCCAAGGTTTGACGCCAAACCTTTGCACGAGGCGTAGGAAGCATCTGGCGCTTTACCGACGATGGTTAAAAGGAGCAAGCCAACCCGGACTTCGACAGGGACCGCAAATGAGAAGTAGCAGGCTGGTTAGCTGTGTGCAGGGGAACATGGGTAAGCCACAGGCTTTCAAAAGCAAGCCAGTCAATACTTCCATGGGAAATGATGCAGACAGTGCTTTTTTTGTAAAAAAAAAAAGAAAAAAGGTGCTGGAACTCACGTGTTGGGGTCACACTTTTACACAATGGTTGCCGCCGGCAGTAAGCACTCCGCGCGACCACTCCACCGATCCCAAGCCGAGCAGCGCCCTCACAATCAGTGCCGCGCCGACACACAAGCAGCCCGTAGGCACTATGTTAATGGTTTTTGCCGCCGATCTGCTACGCCCAACAGGGCGATTCACAATCACTTGGAAAAATCCATCAAAAAAAGGTGCTGGAACACCGTTCCGGTGCGTTCTGTGACAA